CTTACTGTTGTTTTAATTTAATTTTTTTTTTTTTCAAATTTCAGCCTTGCTTAATTAGTGTAATCACATGAAATCGTGTTAAAAAACATACAGCCGGCGGTATTAAACAGCAAGCTCTAAATAGTTTCACAAGAGGGACATTATTAGACAAGGTGTCAGGTATAGTGTACTGTAGGTTATGAAAAGGTCTATAAATATCTTCAAGCAGGTGGCTAAAGCCTGTGTGGCCCATCTGCTCTCTAACCCTTGGAAAACAGGATACAGCAGTGTGAGTTTGTGTATGTGCAGACACATGTGTATGAGTACATATATGTTTTATTATTTGTCTTATTATTCATCTCTATACATACCTCCTTAGGGTCTTTTTAAATGTGCTGCATGAAGACCCTTCAACCCTTATGCAACGTATACTGCCAATAATAACTGCCCTTACCGTAACCCTAATGAGATAGTAGGTGTGTGCATGTGTGTGCATGTGTGTGCGTGTGTGTGCGTGTGTGTGCGTGTGTGTTTCCCAACCAGTCAGTCCATGTGATGATAAAACACAATAAGCCTCTTAGGTGTAATCCTGCTCCATTGGGAGGGGAGTGTCTCACACATGCTTACACACACACAACTACACGCACACACACACACAATGAGTGCCAGCATGGCCAAATCTGTCACCCTGCTCAGGGTACTTGGGTTTCTGTCTTCCAGTGGGTTTGTGTTTACTCAGCTTGACAATCCTGCTGATCAAGGGACACAAAAACCTGAAAATGATTAATGACTGAGAAATATATGTTGTAAAGCAATCTGTCTAGTCAGCAATATTATAGTACTGTGGAGTGTGTGTTATGTCTTTTGCTGTTAAATTATTTCTGTGGTCAATATATAATACTATATATTTAATTCTAACCACTCTAAATCAAATGACAGAAGCTGAAGGATATTTGCTTTGAGGAACTTACATGAAACAAAAGAGAAACCTCAGGAGAACATAACTACACTAGACATTAAAAACAACTGGTAAAAACATAAAATCAAACATTAAAATTTAATAAATTAAAAGAAGATAAACATAAATAAAACCAGCTTTCTCACAGGTATGTGATCAAAGTAAAATGTGTCAATATCATGTGTCATATTCATTTTCAAATAAATATTGCAACTTAAATAATAAATAAATAAAACTTGTTCTGTTACTATCGTGATTAGAAACTGAGGCCATTCTGTAAATAGTTTTCCAATAAATATAGAAACTTCTGATCTGTTTTTACTTTCAGGCTTAAATTAACGACGTCTGAACAGATACAGCTAGAGATCATGATGTATTTGCTCACCACCATAAAACAAATAATGTGCAGTATGTTGTACAATGCATGAGCTGTAAATACATAAAAGCATCACTCTGAACAAACATTTGCCAGTTTGCCTACAGGTGCTGTTAATCGAGAGTGAATGGATGTTGGTTTATGAGGTGCTTTGTATGTAAAAGGACACTAGCTGACTTAATCTCTCTCATAGGAGGTAGGAAAACAGAGAGAGAAACTTTACACTGAATCACATACAGTCCATAAACACAGTGATAATGTGAACAATTATATTTGTGTCCGTCCTGGAAGAACAAGCTCTTCTCCGTGGCTCTGCTGTTTGTTTAAGAATCAGAATCAGAAATACTTTAATAATCCCAGGGGGCTTTCGTTACAACTCTAGATCAACATACAACATATATACATACCACATATAACATATTAAGAACATATATATATATATATAAATATATACATAAATATATCTATATACACAAGGTAAAATATTACCTTAATAATATATTCCTGTTGAATGTTTTCATTACATTAAGTATCTAAGGATAGAAGGTTTTGTATGTTGAACAGATTATAAAGCAAATATGTTTTGGCCTTCATAAAGAAAACTGACTTTACTTTGCTTTTGAAATGTAAATTACAAAGATATAATTCACACACACACAAAAAGGATTTTATTTTGATTCTTTTCACTTTACATAATGCAGTGCCTCTTTGTATACATTGGCTCCACAAAATAAAACGGCAGTATTTCCTCAGCTTTATGTATTCATCCACTGACAGTTTGTGACCTGAAGCTCTCTGAGCTTGTATGAGTTAGTACCTAGAGGGTGTGTACCTTGGCACAGAGAAAGATCTGATATGTAAAATAAATAGCACCCATGGCTTATTGAGGGGTTACAGTGAGCATCCAGAAGCTTGAACGAATGGAAATGAGTCAGTTCAGACATGCACAAAACAACAGACATTACTGTATTTAACTTTTTATTAATTTACAGCTTGCTGCCTGACATAAAATGTTTGCCTAATTCAGTGATTTAATGACTGTTTGTAGTATTGTATGAGAACATATCTTAAAGTGAATTTTCTCTCTTTTTTCAGATTATCTTTGTTCTCCAGAAGAAAATGTCCACATGATTGACTTCACCAGGTTTAAGATTCGTGACATGGAAACAGGGACAGTCCTGTTTGAGATCACCAAACCTCCAATACCAGGTCAGCACCACACCCTATCTCACTAGGGTCCTTTAAAGCAGTGGTTTCCAAACCAACGGCCCCCAACTAAGGGACATATTATATGGATACTTTACATTATATTCACTATATTCACTAAATAACAATAACAGTCGAGAACAACTGATGAACTGTACAATGAACCCAAATAATGAGAACAATAACTGCAGGAAGTTTGTGTCAAACAAGCAATTTGAGTGAATTTTGAGCAGATTATTTCCTGTGAATATTGATTCAGAGATGGAACTTTTTATACAATTGAATAATAATATAAACTTTAAGTAACAATTTAATTTAGTTTTCTTAACAGAAATGAATGAAATGCTGAGATATACTGTAGATATTTTTTAAAAGGTCTTATTTATTCATTTTATTTCGTTTTATTTTACCAGGGACAATGCACATTAATCATTGCTTTTTACATTACACTTCAATGTAAATGTGCCAGAGTTAGCTAATAAGCTAATGTTCATCCGTTTTCCCTGGGCAGGTTATAATAAATTAGTGCCCATAATCATCGCTTCAACAAGTACTACAAAACAATACAATATATTACAATATAATACATAAATACATTCTAAAACTGACAGAGATTTATAAAAACAGTGAGGCAGTGCCAGAGCTGAGGTGGTCAGACTACTTATGACTGCAAGTTTTGTCTGAAGCCATGTCTTTAGTTTATGTTTAAAGACTAGTTTAGACTATTTCAATAATGGGCACTCTAACTGAGCACCCCTTAGGATCAGTACGGCCTCACAACCCCCCTGTGAAGGCTTGGCGATCCCTAATGGGGGTCAGGACATCCAGATTGGGAACCAGTGTTTTAAAAGGTATTTAAGTTATTGTTATTGTAGGATTTTTTTTTCTCCATGATCCTGCAGAGTATAGACAATATGGACTGAGGACATTTTCTTTTAAATGTCTCTTCTCTAGCGGGAGACAAAAAGCACTGTGACCCCAACGCCGGCCGTTTTGTCCGATACCAGTTCACCCCAGCCTTCCTGCAGTTGCGGCAGGTTGGAGCCACGTAAGTTAACCTTCAGTGTGTATTTGTTAGATCCAAATGACAAATGTTGACTGGGAAGAAGAGAGAGACATGTGAAAAAGCTGAATGATGCAGCAACATCCGGTCGACCCTGCCACACTGACAGAAGACACATACCGGATGTAGGAGGTGTGTGGGCGTCAGTGTGGGACGACAGGCTGACGATGATAAGTGCCAACTCACAGAGCAGCCCAGCCCACCTGCTGAGTCAGGCACAAAATAGCTGTCAGTGCTCCTGAGTGGTGTTCATCATCATCACACTCCTACTCTGATTTCAATCCAACCCGACAACTGACTCATTAGGATGAATGACCTTCATGTATATAAAATATTGTGTTTTTTTTATTTAGCAAAGCACCTGAGAAAAGATGTGTGTTGATTGTTGTGAAAGGATAATTCAGTTTATTTTTATAACGTTCACCCAACCACCAGAAAATAGATAAAGAGATTACTATTAAAATAAATGATGTTTTAGCTTTACCCTTAAGGTTTACATGGGGACAAGTGTTAATGCACTTACTGTAGTTGTATGCACTTACAGTTCTTCTGTGCAATGACTGATTAGAGTCGACACTGCATTTGGGTGTGCAAAAATGTCTGAGCATAGCGGGCAGAGTGACAATTTGCACAGGAAGTCAGTCAATTAAGAGAATGTGGGGTCTTAGTACCATTTGGCATCTTAACAATACAGTACAATAAGTGTTTTCTTGTGGCCACCATTAAGTTTCAGTTCCCTCCAGGGGATGAAGTTTGGGCACCCCGATTTAAATAATCTAGATCTACTTGTTTGACCGGCTGACTGGTCATTGGACCCAGATGGACTTTGCTGTAAAGATGTTTCTGTGTTCCCATGTGTGTTATTTTGGTACCAAATCAGGCCCAAGTTGAAATAAACTGGAATTAACCTTTAAGTTTAGCTGACCTTTGAGCAGCCTTCATTTGCCTCTAGGTTGGTAAATCATATTTCCCTCCGTCTCTCTGCAGAGTGGAGTTCACAGTGGGAGACACACCCATCAACAACTTCCGCATGATTGAGAGACACTACTTCCGCGATCAGCTGCTCAAGAGCTTTGATTTCGAGTTTGGCTTCTGCATGCCCAGCAGCAAGAACACATGCGAGCACATCTATGAGTTCCCCGCACTGTCTGAGGAAATCAGTGAGTGTCACAAAACACACCACAAGAGACAAATACACCCACACACAGACTCTCTAACAGGAATTAAAGGTCCAGTGTGTAACATTAAGGAGGCTCTATTGGCAGAAATTTAACATAATGTGCATAGATCTGTTTTCATTAGTGTAAAATCACCTGAAAATAAGAATTGTTGTATTTTTGTTACTTTAGAATGAGCCACTTCGGGAGGTCTTCTTAGGCCGCCATGTTGAACTGCAATGTTTCTACCAAACAGTCTCTCTAGAAAAGGCTTTTCACATTCTTAAGTTTCTCCTACATGCTTTTGAAGGCTGAGCTGTATTCAAATAGTTGCGGTCGGCAACTTCACTGCTAGATGCCGCTGAATACTAAACACTGGTGGTTTAAAGATCCTGAGTGTTGTGTGTCTTTTTTCTCTCTCAGTGCAGGAAATGATCCTGCACCCGTATGAGACGCAGTCTGACAGCTTCTACTTTGTGGACAACAAGCTGGTGATGCACAACAAGGCAGACTATTCCTACAGTGGGGGGCCATAGGCAGACCAGTCGCCACCCCTTCACTCCTCCCTGTTGTAGACATTTTCCACGATCCATGTACAACTTCAGGACCAGAAACAGATGAACTGATGGACAATTCGCTGGCATTAAACTCTTAAACTCACTCCTGTTAACTCCATGAATTTCCATTCAGGTATTTAGCTGCCAGACCAATAGATTTCTCTCTTTGCAGGAACATCGAATTCTGTCAGATTTATCATCAGTTTGCATCTGTGCGTGTGTGTGTGTGTGTGTGTGTGTGTGTGAGCGAGTGTGTGGGCAGCAAACACATGCAGTGTCTGTACATACTGTTGATCTCAGTCTGTATATGTGGGTTTCACTTGATCATCAGGAAAACACTGATCAATTTACATTTTGTGTGTGTGAGTGTTTTGATAGCTAATAATATGAAGAGAGAAAGGAGACAGTGAGTGCTGTTTGTCTTCACTTAACCAGACGAGGCAGAAAACACACCATGAGACGAAGAGAGAAATGATGTTACTCTAAAGAAGTTTTAAAAAAAAAATTAATCCATTCAGATGTACATTTATATAGTTTGTATAGGAATGACATTACATTTTCACTCCTGAAGTTTCTTAAATTTCTAGTAGCACACATCCGAATGAATCCTCCCATGATCTTGGTCTGTCATCGTTCATTTGAGTGACAAACAGAAATGTGTACTTTGTCTATGTGAATGTGTCATTTGTTGTATGTTTTCATGTTCATAGTACTACTATTTCAGGAGTATTTTTTAAATAAATAGCCATTTTAAATTGTCAGAAATCCTACATTAGCCAAAAGTCAGATACCAATTTTGATATCCAGTACGTGCTCTGTAGTACTGAACACTGTGTATACTTAATTATAATAAATGTTTTAAGTATAAAATGAAAAAGTATGTAAAGTTTTGACAGCGGAAATTCCATCACTGCAATAAATATGGGATTTTTTCGAAATCTTGATCATTGGGTTTTTTTTCTTTTCACAAAATATGGAGCATTACACTGAACAAAGAAAGTAAACAGTACAGTAAAATAAAATGTTGAGCAGACAATAGATTATAAAAACAGCAAAGCATTAAAAATCTGAATCAGTACAAAATAACAGGAAACCATAAGGTATACTGCTGGCATTGTGTTCAACTTTATATGTTTATACTTGAATTTCTTTTGTCAGCCTCTTTTACTTTTATTGGAGAAGATTTATTCCCACATATCATGTTACCTGATTCAGTAGTTAAACATTATACAGTATCTTCTCTAATAAAAGTATGATTGATTTCCAGATCCAGGTTTAGAAATTTACCATAGTCCAATAAACCTTTTAAGAGCAGTGAATGAAGACATAAAACGTGGATTATTCACTTGTGTCTGATTTTCTACCAAAAAGTTATCTTATTTGAAAATTCTGAATCTATGCAATTATTCTTCATTTTTCAAAGCAATATGTTTCCTACTTCCTACTTCTTGGGTGAAAAAAACATGCTTGTTGGTCCCTTGGTCCACATCTTAAAGTCAGAGAAACTTTTCCACTACAGGAGACTTCCAGTGTCAAACTCTGCACACATCATTCTGCACGGTGAAGGTCAAATATCCAAGTGAAATAAGAAAATAAATAACAATAAGCAAAACAGTCAGAAAAGTTAAAATAACACTCTTTAATTAGTTTATGAACAAACTCTTACAAAAACAGAAACAGTAACCCAAAAGTGCTAAAATAATGTTATATATCTATATTCTCCTTATATATATTTATATTTCCCCTCATATTTGTCAGGGCGCTTAACTACAGAAAGTAAGAACTAAAATATCATTTAAAAGATGAGAATTACATCAGAAGTTAACGCCTCATATGGACCACAACACAAGTGTCTTTGCTGCCATCTTCTGTGACAATAGTCTTACTGCACTGTTGCCATGACACCGCCTATCATCATCCATCAGGTCTGCACTGGTATTAGACATCAGTGTAAACAAACGTGAGAGAGCTTCTCTAATGCTGAGCCCTTATCACAGTGGAGCCAATGGCTGCAAAATATTACATACATATTAAATACATTATCTCACAGATCTGCTTTTAATAGAAATAATAGTGTTGTTAGGAATATTTTATTTACATACACAGTAGCAACATTAACATTGATTTGGAATTTGGAGTCCAATATTCCTCTCTTTTATCTGTGTGTTTGGTCTCCTGAGGGAAGTAACTGGCTCTTCAGCTTCTAACTGTGAAATTGTAGGTTGACAGTAAAACAATTAGTTGAAACTCGCTATAAAGCTCCATTAAGGGAAGTGAGCTGCAGATTCAAACATTAAAAGGGTGACTATAATCATAAAGTACGCATGATAATCCACATTGAAAGGTGCTTAAGCAGAAGACATCCTCTAAGAATGTATGTGTGTTATGCTTTTAATATGGAGGAACTGTCCATTAATCCATCAGCTATGTCCTTAGAGTAATCCTTATCCCCTGGAGCTAATTCCTGCTGACAATGGGCAAGAGGTGGGCTACACCGGGGACAAGTCACCAGCTAATCACAGGGCTGACACATAGAGATAAACAACCATTCATGCACACATTCACACTACAACAAAATGCTGGTACTAATGCCTTGAAATTGAAAATTAAAAATGTATTTACAAATGACAAAATAAAACCTCCTATGGTTATTTATAGGGACTTTGGATTAGGATTTGTAAATCAATGTGACAATACAGTTTGTAAAAGGTAAATAAATAGCTAAATTCACATAATTTTAACAATTGCGTTTTCAATATGCAATTGAAATACAATTTTAATTCATAAAGTGTGTCCCTGTGTGTACTGAAACAGAAAAAAAAGATAGACTTCTTGTTTTTTCATCAGCTGAACTTGTCTTAGTTCCTCCACAGTTTGTCACACTGTAGTAAACAGAGGATCTGATGAGTTTAGTAACCACTTAGCTAATACTGTGGCATGAAGCTGCCTGCGACAACATGGCCTACTCAGCTTAATATAGTACATTTATGGCCGGTAGAGGGTGACGCAACCCAAACAGTCAGGTCTTTACATTAAAGAGATGGATGTGGTACAGGAAGTCAGATACCCAGCCAGACTCTCCATTCCTGAATAAACCACAGGATGCAGTCCATTCAAACAGCCGTGCTGCTCTACGTTTCTTCCAATGTCTGTGTTTTCGTTCGCGTACTCTGCTTTTCGACGACTGACAGGAGGAAGTGTGACCTGCAGGTAGCTGGTCTGGATGTGGTGGTCCTGCAGGGCAGACGTAGTGGACGGGGTTGTGAGATTGACTTGTGGATCAGATACCAGGCTGTCGTCCCTTAACTCCTCCCACAAGTTACCTGAGAAAATTAGTAAATATCAGGTCATTGTCCAGTAAACAATAACACCTGCTGCAATCAGACAGGAACTCACTTCCTGCTCATTTTACTGATGAAGGGGAGGAGATGCGTTTGCCTCATGTTGGAAATTACACCATGCAGGGTTTTTAAGTATGATTAATTAATAAAGGGATTGAATAAAAGCATAGATCCTCTACGTATAAGGTAACACTAACATTAGTTGGCCACAGTAGTTTACAGTATGCTTGTAACCATGGTAGGCCCGGCACCAAGGCGAAGTAACTGAGGGGCCTGTTGCTTTAATCAAAACTGATTTAACCTCAAAGAGTACATTTATATATCTGAGCACTCACATAAGAAGGTAGCACTAGCAGAGCACTAAATATTCTTTGAATTTATTTATATGTACAGATTTTAGATTACCTCACAGCATTGCTAACACCTACTCTTTATCCCACATTTGGTTTGTTTGGATCTAGTCACCATACTTAAGACATCTGGTGGCGCTGGGCCCAAATTGAGGTTGCATTTCTTTTTCCTGTCCCACCTGCTTTTTATCACAGGTTGCATGTAAAGCCCAATATGCATGTTCAGCTTTTTCACACATTTAGATGTGTCTGTGAAAGGGTTCTGGTACTGTTAATGCTGGCTCACTAGGACACAGAAACCAAGCCATCATTAATGTAATTAATTGGGACCTTTGCTTTTGTTTCTTTTACATGAAAAAGCCTGCTGAGGTCTATGCTGGTCTGATAGCAGCGTAGGTCTTTAATTTACAGGATTTTGTTCATCGGCACATGATATCCAGACTTTGTACCCAAACAATATGATGCCATATTTTCACACCCTAGTTACAAAATGAAGTAAGCAACTACTAAAATGCTATGAGCTGATGCTAATAGCTAGTTAGCATAGGGCAAACACAACAATGAATATAAAACAAGATTAATTTTTTAATATAAACACATATTATAATCATTTTTGAACACATTTGGTTATTAAAGACTTAGGACCAACATTATGTACCAAGCAGGACATTTTACAGTTCCTTCAGTCAATCAGTGCTCTCCAGTGGGCAAACTTGGTAACTGATAAATCTGTGTGTTGTAAGCCTTTCTACCCATCATATTGTCTCTATCTGTCTCGTACCTTGCAGCTGCAGGTCAGTCAGACTGGGGTTGAGTGTGTCGATGTCATAACTGGCTTCTCCCTCCAACAGAAAGTCCTGCATGCTCCTGGGGCCAACGCTGTACTCATTGTAAACAGGTGGCATCTTACCAGCCATGGGTGAGTTCAGGCCTCCAGTGGCTGTTGGCTGTCCATAGGGTGAGTACAGGGCACATGAGTTGCTGGGGTTAGCAGCGGTGGGGGGGAGGTAGGAGGGCAGCTGAGGTTGAATATGGGAATACTGTGGACGCCGAATGGACAAGCAGGGGGGCTGAAGCTGGGCTGGGGTGCAAGATGGTGAGGTGGTGCTGTAGATAGGGGTCACTCTGGATAACAAAGCTGGGTTGGTGTAAGGTGGCAAAGACTTGAGCTTCTCCGGTCTCTCTCCCAACAGACGGTCAAGGTCTTCTGTGGAAAAAGTGTGTATCAACCAATGTTTGAATCAAGTAAAATAGAATAAACAGATTAAAAGGTCAAACATCTGTACAGTACATCATAATGAATTCATTGTGAAATCAATCCTCTAACCTGTTTTGTCCTTTGGTATTTACATGTTCCTATAACAGGACCCACCTGGCCTAGCCATGCTCCTGCGTACAGTGACCGGGTCCTTGCGGCGCCACTTGTGCAGCTCCTCCTGCATTTTCTCCACCTTGGCTGAATTGAGAGCCCACAGACAGCCTTTACGGGACGAGTTCCCATTTTTGTTCTCCACCTTCACAAAGCACTTGTTCAGGGAGAGGTTGTGACGCACAGAGTTCTTCCATCCGTCAGGAGCTGTCTGAAAACAGAGAGGGTTGGATAGATGAGAGAGAAAATGGTTTAAAGCAGCTTTTTTTTTTACCCTTTATACACTGTATATATGTCAGATCAAATTGATTCATGGTACATGAGTATGCATGATTAGGACTGCTACATTTTCTATATAAAATGTTAGAAAATAATAAAAATAAATGTAAAAATCTCCCCACAACAATTAATTGATTATGTTGCCAAATTATTTTATGTTAACTAAAGGATCAATCAAACCAATTGTTTCAGCTCTATGCAAGCTGTTTAGTTCTTAAGTGAAGTAGCCATGGATAATTAAACAAGAGTCTACAGCCATGCTAGCAGCTCTGAGAAGCTATTTAGGCTCTGCAGTGCTTTGAGCTAAATGCTAACATCAGTATGCTAACATGCTCACAATGACGCTGCTAACATGCTAATATTTAATAATGAGCACAAAACACACAAGTGCAGCTCTGGCTGATGGGAATGTCGTTGCAGGAGGTGATAAACCAAAGTACTGGACGAATAGTAAATCTTATGGAAATACATCCCATATCTGATATTTCAGTCTGTAGACAAACCAAACAACAGACAGACATAACTGTGACTAAAAATTCAATAATACTTCTTACATTATTTTATTTGTCATTTGTTTTACACATTATTTTACCCTCTCTTGACCTCTCATCACATTAAATAAAGACCTCACTACAGCTCTCACCCACTGCCTGAAACACATTCAGTGTGTCAAATTCAGTTCTTACACATTCACAGGCCCTTCCTATTAAAATGTGCATTAATTTTTCCACCATCTGCAATGTTTGATATCTGCATGCCATAGCAAGTGTCCACTCAACTGAAATGAACTCAAAGATACTTCAGAAAGTATATAGATAAAGAAAAAAAAATACTAAATACCTTGACTTTCCTTGGTGTATAACTTATGATCTGCTTCATTTATTTTCTGGCCCTGCAGCATGTGTTTAATGTGACAGGCAGCTGTTTGGAAAGCAGCCATAAAGCACCTTCTTTCATATAAATGGCATCCAATCTTTGAGCTCTTTCCAGAATTGAGTCTGAACTTATTTGATTTTTGAATCCTTCAGAAAATGTACATTATTTGTACATTTTCTGAAGAGAGGTGCAACCCTGCAGCTGGCTAATGTAATTAATATTAAAGCACGGGGCATGAATTTATAATGTGCTTTAATCCATTGTACAGCAAGAGATAGAAATAGCATTGGCCGTTTTTTATTGATTGTAATCGATAGTGATCCTATAGTTGAGTGACTATGAAGACTTAAAACTAAAAATTTAAAAAATACTCACACACTGCCAATATAAAACAGACACACCTCATCATTTTACTCCTCATGTCTCAACAGGTAGCTGGTCCAGGATCACCTAGCTGCATTTTTGTAGAGCTCTATTAATCATTAGAGCGATATTATGAGGGCAGATGTGTTTTGGGATGTTTTTTTAACTTATAATAACACAAGGCAAACCTAAATGTGAACTGTTCACCTTCCCATCAGAGGAGGACAAAGGACAGGATAAATGACCGATACTGATAATGTTCTTCATTATTTCTAAACTTCACTCAGTGTTTTCATGTCAGGAATATGATTTGTGTTCATTTTTTTATACTGTTGTAAACATAAGTTAAAATATTAAATTCTAATCTTGTTCTGAATGTTAAGACAACCAGACTGACATAGGAACTGTATAGCTAATATGCACACTTCAATATCTGTTTATTTATGTTTATTTCTCATATTGTGCAGGCCTACTTAGGGTGGAAACTTGACCAATGCTTTGACCAGCCAGAGTTGACTTTAGAGAACAAATCATTTGGAGGCAGTGAAACTACAATGGGAAAAAAAGCAATATTGTAAATATTTGACAATATAAACTGAGATTACACTTGGGAGCAGAATCAATTTTTAAAAAAAGTGCTTCCTGCCACTAATCTTGAGTTTTTTTCAGTGGTTTAAATTCAGCCTGTAATATAAAAAACATTGATAGTGATACCTTGAAATAGGGGAAGTGTTCAGTCATGAAGCTGTAGATCTCACTGACTGGCAGGCTTCCTGTTTTACTATTTTTCAGAGCCATGAAGATCAAGATGCTGTAGGCATGAAGGAAACATTTTTACATTAGCATTATATATTATTTATATGTTGTGTTTGGCGCAAACAAAGCACTTTTTTCAACATGTTAAGCACGTAAGAATTATCCACATAATATTGGTAAGCAATAATATAAGTGTCGTATATGGTGAAATGTCACACAATGTTACCTGTATGAGTAAATGGGCTTGGGGAAGAGGGACTGTGTGCTGCTCTCCTGGGGTGATTGAGCGGAAAGAGAATATTTTGAGCTGTTCAACTTGTCATTATTATGATTCAGTCTTGATGAGACCTATAGAGGACACACACACACACACAAATATCATGACCTGCAAACCAATAAAAGCCACAGCATTCCTCTACGGTTTATCTAACGCACTCACCTGTTGCAGGGGGCTTGATGAGCTGTAGGATGAATAGCTTTGAGACAGGAAGCAGGAAGGCTCTGCTGGTGCAGCTGGTAGTTCTGGATACGAACTCTGCAAGTATGACAACATAAAAGGAGGCTTTTTCATATTTGCTTTCATATTATGCTTATTAAATAATTTTTTTTATGTAATAAATACATTTTGCAATACAATTTCAGCCTGAAATTAACTTTGTGGCATATACCTGGTTTCTTTTGGCCATTTGGAGGCAGCAGAAATAGATATAGCAAAGACAACACTGACGTACGGCAAACTTGTTAGCAGACAATTGCTGCACAGTTACAGATAAACATTAGTGTTGTGTTTCTGTGCACCTGTTGATTATAAGTCCAATAGTCACTTTCTTTTAGCTCCGTTTTTGGTCTCTACCAACACCAGAGGGATATATCGGTCTCTTTGTATCTGTCTACCTGCTGAAAATGACCTCGAAAATGAACCAAAACAGTAAAGCTATGAGACAGACAGCTGAACAATGAGCTGAAACTCTCTATAAAGCTCCATAAAGTTCTGCCGGGACCTGAAGATTCAGATAATTCTCTGTAGGTTCATCACTACAAGCAACTCCTTTCACATTGTCAAATTTGATCCATTGCTATTCTCTGTGTGTCAGTGTCGTATTCCTAACAGTGTAGTGCATCTTTTCCACATGGTCATCCACTATGTTTATTCACTCCCTTTCTTTCACCTTTATCATATAAATTTGTTGTTTTGGACTGCACAAAGCCTTAACTGAAATAACAGGTGAAATTAGTGTACCAGAAGTCTAGAAACCTGAAAGCTGCCATTGTACTGGTCCCAGGATGTTGGTGCCTCGCCGTTGGAGCTGTGTGAACAAGTGTCAGGGCTGCACACCTCCTGCAGACAGCTGAAGGAAGACGAACACTGTTGGAGACAAACTGCAGCCGTCACTGCTCCTTCACTGAACTGTCGACGGTATGGATGGAAACGGTCTGAGTCTACGGGGCCACGCCCCGGTGCTGATCCTGAACCGACGGTCCCATCAGCGCTGTGCCTCCTGTTCAGAGCTGCAGTCCTCAAGCTGAAAGTGTTGCTGTCTTGCTGGGTGAAGCAGACGTCCCTGCTCTCTTTAATCTGTGGTATCATCATCATCACAACGGATACAAGTTTATCATGGTCTAAATTATAGTATACACAAAAGTTGACAGTTGAGATGTTGTCTCTCTCTACACTCGATTCATAGACCAACAAGCTGCCCACATGCCTACTGGGAATCTCCAGAAGCCATTTAAACCTCCTCTCTCACAGTGAATAAACCACAGAGAACTGTCTCAGCCTTTCATGCTCACATACATATTTCAGCACTTATTAGATAATTAGATGCTACAGTTAGCAGCTGCTTAGCTTAGCTTAGCTTAGCTTAGCATAATGACTGAAAAACAAGGGGAGAGGGAGAGCCTGGCCATTTGTCCATGTACATTCAATTTAATTCACAAACAACCCAACTCATTTTAACAGTCTTTACATACTGGAGTGCAGTCAGAACTGATTTTCTATTTCTAGTGTTACACAGAAGAATCTGTTTTGGGTTAGGACAGAAAGGCCCAAGGCAGCTCAGTACCTGTGATTCTGCCATCTGCTGGCATGAGGTCCCACAGGGCTCACAGGTGTGTAGGTTGGCCTGAGGGGTTGATGCTTGAGACTTGCTACTGCTGCTGCTGCTGGGGTAAAACGGCAGGGAGTCTGACATTCTGCACCAAAATCTGCTCCTATGAAGAGATTTAAAAAAAAAAAAAAACAGGCTAAATTTGAGATGGGAGATAAAAACTGGCTTCTATCTTTAGTCAGTGGCATTTTCTGGCCCAAACTCAGGCAGACAATTCATCTTACCACAGACTGGCTCAGCAGCGGTCTGTGTAATTTGTTTAACATTAAAGTTTTTCTTCCTACAGTTGGATGTTTGACACTAAAAGGGATGTTTTTACATTCATCTACTGAAAGAGGAAAGTTTCTCTGTGCTCAATGAAAATCCGATTTCCACGAGAAGTCAGTCCTGGTCCAGTATGCAATTAACAGCATATAAGTGATATAGGAACTTGAAGTGCAGATACACTGAGAATGGACTTTACAGNNCAGCAGGAAAACTTTAGATATGAAAAAAGTTAAAGCATATTCATAGATTGTTTAATGCTTGCCTTTTTAAGGTTAATATGCAAATTCTATACATTTCTTTGCAGAAAAAAAACATATCAGCCACATATAATTTTCATTCTAAGCAGACTGTTGGTGTCTGTCGTTCATTGTCTGGAGGGGATTTCTAGAATTGCCAGTTAATTCTTCTCCGTGTTTTTATCTAAATCTTGTTGTTGCTGGCTCCAACTAAAGAATGTGATGTCAGAGCAAAAGCATTTTCCCACAAACATCTAACTATATGACAAACCTAAACATGGCATGATAGAGTGTGCTAACATGAGAAAGGTTGAGTTCATTTTCAGTGGCAGTTTATTAAAACAAAAGTTTGACATTAGTTGATGTCTCCACCATCTCTCTCTCCGTTTGCATGT